GTTCCACAAAAAAACAACCCTGTGCAACCCAACACAAATATTATACACTCAGGCTTTACATTCTCAAATGTGGACATGTGTTATCTATTCATCAAATCTTAATGCTTGGTCTTCCTTATACCATGTTTCTCATATAAAATATTCCGGGATTTCCCAAATGCTATTACAAGAATTCACTTAGGTATTAAAAACAAATTGTTTTCTGAACTCAGGCAGAGGAGACACATTAACTGACATGTCATTGAAATGGCTGTCCAAGGGTCCAGGCTGTGTGGTGGGACGAGGGTGTCCAGAAGAGGGACTGGGAGCCATAAGGATGGGAGAATTCAAGGCCCAGGGAAGATAGTGGGGGCAGGAGAATGAAGAACACGTTTCACAATGTGAAACTTTCACGTTGTTGAGGGAAGGAGGGAGAGAGGAGGCAGGAAGAAAGAAGTGTCAGAGGTGACTCTCAGGAAGAGAAGCCCAAGTTCATGAGCAGTAGTTGTGGGTCTAACAATAGAGGGACCCAGTGTGAAGGGAATGGCTGCCCTGACCTGGAGCAGAAAACCATTTGGAACAAGAAGGCTGAATTGTCCTAGGTGTGGTTTCTTCTCCAGAATCTCCTCCTTAACGTCACCTTGGTATTCTTTCCAACAGCTAATCCGAACTGAGCTGTTTCATGCTTACTAAATGCCGTCTTGGCCACTTATTCCAACTGACAAATGCTGGCTCTCCTTGTCAGTCTCTGCTCAAGAGTTAAGCTCCTTTGAGAAGCCTTCCTGGGTACCCAGGCAGAGTCTGGCATTGGCATCCCCATGATCCTGCATACAGACACATAAGTGTCACTAGCTTTTACTGTTCTGTGTTGGTGGTGTCCACATAATCAATCCTCTTCTAAAATGCAAGAACCTTAAAAATAAGTGTCATGTTTACCCATGTCCCTATTCTGGTGCCTAGCACAAAGACTGGCACACTGTTTGTGCTCAATTAGTTACTATTTAAGAGCAGGGGGTTTGAACATGGATGAACACGGGCACCAGTAGCTCAGTGGCTAGGGTGCCAGCCATATGCACTGGGGCTGGTAGGTTTGAAACTGGCCCAGGCCTGCTAAGAAAAAAAAAAATAGCTGGGGGCAGCACTTGTGGCTCAAAAGTGTAGGGCATCAGCCCCATATACTGGAGGTGGCAGGTTCAAACCCAGCCCTGGCCAAAAACTGCAAAAAAAAAAAAAAAAAATAGCTGGGTATTGTGGCAGGTGCCTGTAGTCCCAGCTACTAGGGAGGCTGAGGCAAGAGGATAGCTTAAGCTCAGGAGCTGAAGGTTGCTGTGAGCTATGACATCACAGCACTCTACATAGGGCGACAAAGTGAGACTCTGTCTCAAATAAATAAATAAATAAATGTGGATGAACAGTTGAATGTTCAGGGGGATTTTTCAAAATGCAGAAGCCCAGGGCCTTTCCAGACCTGATGGCTGCATCTAGGTAACTGTGGTTTTCCAGCTGGGACTGGTGCATCCTGGAGATACTGCCCCAAGCTTTATGCACTCACAGTACTGACCTCACTTGTGATGTCAGGAAGCAGGGATCCACCCCTTCCAAGAACACAGGCTCCAAAGCATGGGTCCCAATTCAAGTCCTAGCCTTTGGCTATGAGTCCATTACCAAGCAGTCCCCTGAGCTTGGGCACATTCCCGTGACTCTCTGAGCCTTGTAAAATTAAACAATATGGGTGCATCCAAGCTGGTACTGATTATGTCTGTAATGAATTTAAGTCTTGGGCATATGTATTTCATTGAATCCTGTTGATTATAACAACAATGATATTTTGTACATTTGCATAGCTTGTTGTTCTTCCCATGAAACTTTCACATTGTTGATTGACCTCATTTAAACCTCTTAACAACATTCAAAATAGGGGCAGAGAATGTCTTGTTTTCCTCACTGAATGGATGAAGGAGGTGCACAGCATGGACGGGCAGAGATTAGCCTTGAGCACACCTGGATGCCCAACCTGGAAAAAGCGTCTTCCTGCTCTTCTCACGTCAACCACTAACTCATCACTACTCACCAGCCACTTCCCCCAGGCAGTCCCAGGGGTATTCAGATACTGGGAAGGAGATGCAGTAAAACAGCCGTTAAATGATGGCGTCTCCTCAGCACAAGAGGGAACAGCACAACAGGAGAAAGACCATCTAGAAGGATGAAGTTCCAGGCTGAAAGGTCACCACACATGCTAAGGTGCAGAGGCAGGTGAGAGGCAGAGGTGTCTGAAGAAGAAGCCTGTGGCTGGTGATGATGAATCAGAGAACCTGCTGGAAGGGAGTCCTGGCCAGATCATGAATGGCCGGAATGGCATTTACACTGTATTTGTTTGGTAATTCAGAGTCACTGAAGATAGTTAGGAGAATAAGCAACAGTTTCTACACTCTGTTCTTGGCTTTCTGAACAGATTAAAATGGGGATGATAATAAAAATAAGGCTGGGTGTGGTGGCTCACACCTGTAATCCTAGCACTCTAGGAGGCCAGGGTGGGTGGATTTCTTGAGCACAGGAGTTTGAGACCAGCATGAGCAAGATCAAAACCCCCATCTCAACTAAAAATAGAAAAATTATACAATTGTGATGGTATGTGCTTATAGTCTCAGCTACCCAAGCAGATGAGGCAAGATGATGGCTTGAGTCTAGGAGTTCAAGGCTGTGGTAAGCTGTGATGAGTCCCCTGCATTCAGGCCTGAGTGATAGAGCAAGACCCTGTCTTAATAATATTAATAAAAGGTGGACACATAATAGGCACTGTCCTAAGGTCTTTACAAGAATTGCTCCATTTAATCCTCATCCCAACCTTTTAGCTGGGCCCTATCATTCCTTATCTGAGGGATGAGGAAAGCAGGGTGAGGAGATGGGATGGGAGTTGCCATCATCATGGAGCCTGCAGGTGGCAGAGCCGGTGCCCTGGTACCTCCCGCAAAACTAAAAAAAGGGCAATGCAGTTAAAAGATGGTAGTAGTGGGAATGAAAAGGAAGGAAAAGAGACATGATGAAGAACAAATAAATGTAGACTTTTTTTTTTTTGAGACAGAGTCTCACTATGTCACCCTCATAGAGTGCTACAACATCACAGCTCACAGCAACCTCAAACTCTTGGGCTCAAGAGATTCTCTTGCCTCAGACTCCCAAGTTGCTGGGACTGCAAGCATCTGCCACAATGCCCTGCTATTTTTTGTTGTAGTTGTCATTGTCTAGCAGACCCAGGCCAGGTTCGAACCTGCCATCCCCAGTGTATGTGGCCGGTGCCCTAGCCACTGAGCTACAGGTGCCAGGCCATAGACTTCTTTATATTATTTCATATTTGTAGAAATCTACCTGATAAGTAGTTCCAAAAACTCTCAATAAACACCTTTATAAGTGGGATGCTCGGCTGGAATGACTAACTTGACATTAAGGCTACAAGAATTGTTCTTCTATCACACCCATTAGTTGGTCTGGTGGGACAGATCCCTTGAACCACACAGTCACCAAATAATTAACAGCTCCAGCAATGGGAACAAGAGAAGGACAGGCACCCAAGCCATGTTTGTGCTAACCTTCCCTCATCTTCTGAGGTCATGCTTTCTTTTTTTTTTGAGACAGAGCCTCAAGCTGTCCCCCTGGGAAGAGTGCTGTGGCATCACAGCTCACAGCAACCTCCAACTCCTGGGCTCAAGCGATTCTCTTGCCTCCGCCTCCCAAGTAGCTGGGACCACAGGCGCCCGCCACAATGCCCAGCTATTTTTTGGTTGCAGCCATCATTGTTGTTTGGCGGACCCGGGCTGGATTCGAACCTGCCAGCTCAGGTGTATGTGGCTGGTGACTTAACCGCTGGTGACTTAACCGCTTGAGCCACAGGCACTGAGCCGGCCATGCTTTCTAGAAGGTACTTGGCAATAAGAAATGGAAGAATGGTGAGATGAAGAAAGTTAAAGAAAGGGAGCAAGAGAAAAAACAGAAATATTTCAGCTATCTTTGAAAATGACCAGAAATCTGAAAACAGAAAACAATGTCAAGTTTGCAACTGAAGTGAGGGAAAAAAGGATAGTGACAACTGAAAGTGTGCCAAAGCTGACCTCAGCCTGTCTTGAGTGTCCTCCGGAAAGAACACTGAAAGTCTCTGTGCTGAGAAAAGCCCCATCTGGACACGTTGGAGATGTTCCTCGCTGACCTCATGCTCTCTCGCTGAGCTCATTTTGGATGGCTTCATGGATACGCAAATCATGTTTGATGTGCTGCTTTTAGTATCTGCCCTGGTTTTCTGATTCCTCTTTGAATAACCTCCAGAGTAGTTCCAACCCAGACTTCCCTGAGAGACTATTTCCAGGGCACTCTCCTATTGCCACTCTGACTGCTTATCAGTAGACTCTGCAGAAGTCCCTCCTTTTTGGTGACTTGCCATGCAATACTTCTCCTGGGTAGCTGTGATGGAGACCAGCTGGTTGGTCACCCAGCTTTTTGCCTTGTCCTCCTGGGCACACAGCCAGCCTCCTTTGCTATTGGGTGCACCCACTTGACCGAGTTCTAGCTGAAAGAATGTGGGCAGAATGATGTCCACCATTTTCAGGCCAGCCCATGAAGCCCTCCTGCAAGGGGGAGAGGGCTGAGTCTGCTTTGGTCATGCTGAGTTTGAGGTCCCAATAATACATGCGGCTATGTTGGTTTGGAGCTCATGAGAGAAATCTGAACTTGAGCCAGAATCATTGCTAGAGACTGGCCAGACCCTGGAGAATGAGAAAAGGTCATAGAACAAGATCCACAGAGACCACTTAATAAGTAAGACTATCACAAGACACTCAAGATGTATTCTATGAAGGAATGAGAAATGGAAAAACAGGGTGAAATTTTCATGAAAATCAAGGACGAAGAGGTTTCCAAAAGGCATAATCAATAGTGACAACAGTCATATGAAAAATGCCTACCAGATTTTCCATCCTCAAGGCCACTAACAGCATCTGCCAGCTTTTATTTATTTATTTTATTTTATTTTTTTAAATATGGAACACTTCACAGATTTGCGTGTTATCCTTGCAGAGGGGCCATGCTAATCTCTGTATCGTTCCAATTTTCATATATGTGCTGCCGAAGTGAGCGCTATTTTTTTTTTTAAGACAGAATTTCAAGCTATCACCCTGGGTAGAGTGCTGTGGCATCAGCTCACAGCAACCTCAAACTCTTGGGCTCAAGTGATTCTCTTGCCTCAGCCTCCCAAGTAGCTGGGACTACAGGGGCCTCACCACAATGGCCGGCTATTTTGTTGTTTTAGGTGGCCCAGGCGGGGTTCGAACCCGCCAGCTTCAATGTATGTGGCTGGGGCCCTACCCACTGAGCTACAGGCGCCAGGGTCATCTGCCAGCTTTTAGCTGTAGGAAGAGCCTACAATGACAGAAGGAACATAGCAACAGGGAAAAGGGGTTTTAATGAGAAAACAAAGTAAATTAGAAATTGGCAGATTGCATGTGAAAACCCCACACTGTACCCCAGAAGTGCATTAATGTACATAGTTACCATTCAATTAAAAAAAAAAAAGAAATTAGATCCACTTTATCATCCCAATGTGGTAGGTAGACGAAGGATGGATACAGAGTGAGAGAGAACACACAAACAAAACAAAATCCAAAAAGTAACATACAAACAGCAGAAGTTAAGGAAATATTTACAAATTATTCCTCGATCCTTGACATTGGCAAATAATCTAGGTGGCTTTTTAAAAAAAAATATTAAAGGTGATTAACTTTGGGTGGTAAGTTGAAACACAGGTTTTAGGTTTCTTTTTTTCTTTTTTTGAGACGGAGCCTCAAGCTGTCCCCCTGGTAGAGTGCTGTGGCATCACAGCTCACAGCAACCTCCAACTCCTGGGCTCAAGCGAGTCTCCTGCCTCCGCCTCCCAAGTAGCTGGGACCACAGGCGCCCACCACAACGCCCGGCTATTTTTTGGTTGCAGCCATTATTATTGTTTGGCGGGCCAGGGCTGGAAATTCGAACCCACCACCTTAGGTGTATGTGGCTGGTGCCTTAGCCGATTGAGCCACAGGCGCCAAGCCAGGTTTTAGGTTTCTTAGCAAACTCTTTGTAAATTTCTGTTTCCAAAATTTCTTCAGTGAACTTAGTATTACGTTTGTAAGGAGCGGGGTTTTGTTTTTTGTTTCTTAATGAGATACGCTGAAGCTTATTTATATGCAAAAGAGGAAAGAGTCAGAGGCAAGAGCAGGAGAAGGAGCAGCTGCAAAGCCACACTGAGGGGCAGGCGGTGGGCGCGCAGGAGCCCAGGTCAGTGGCTGACATTCTCCTCTAGGGCTTTATTTTCTCTGTTAAACTGGAGGATACCAGCCAAGGAAGGAGAGGGTGGGCCTGGTGTGAGGGGTTCAGACTGGGGAGTTGAGAGGAGGGCTGAAATGCAGGTGTCGGCATTCCACACCACTCCCACACGTCCCCCTGGCCACACCCCCACCCTGGAGGAACCAGGGCTCTTCTGGCACCCGTCTAGATTGTCCTAGCTTGTTTCCTCAGTCTGGACAAAGTTCCCAGGGGCAGTGTTGCTTATTCAGAAGCTGTCCTCCTCCTTCCTCCTATAAAAATTAATTTTCCAAAATAAAAGAATAATTTTCCTATTAGTCCCTATGTGACCCCACTTCAAGCCAACATGGTTATTAGCCCCTGTAATGGCAATCACCACGTGAATTAACTCACCACATATGTTGACAGTGAATAATAACTAACACTATTTCTTCCTACTGATGGAAAGTAGGAAGAAAGCTATATTTTAATAGAAGACTTCTACAATTATGTGCTTTAATCAAGAGGTGAGCATTTCCAGCTCTTGGCACTTGGAGGAGAGAGTCATTTTTTTGCAGTGGAAAAGGAAAAGTTGTCCCAGTTTTCTTCAAACCACCGTCTATGTGATGATCCAGCTTGTCTCCATGTGATGCCAGCCACACTAAGGTGGATTCTAAGTGCTCATCTGTATAGACAAATTTAATCTAACAGAAAGATAAACCATGGCATAAGAAAAGAAGATTATATTCATCAAAAATATCTTTCAACAACCAGGAAAAAACAGAAGTCTTTGAAGAAACACAAAGACTGAGAAAGTTCACTAGCAGCAGGTTCTCACTAAAGGAAATTCTTAAGGATGTACTTCAGGAAAAAGGGATATTATCCCAGATGGAAGGAATGAGATATAAAAATATATTAAAGCAAAGCCAGGGAGAAATACACAGATAAATCTAAAGAAACATTGATATGTAAAATGAGAAGAATGAGATAATAAAAATAGTCATCATTATATTCTTGGGGAGTCATAAAAAACAAGACAGAATTAAACTGCACAATAACAATAACCCATATTAGAAGGGAATAATGAAAACTGAAGCATTTTAAGGACCTAGTCTTATTAGATGATAGGATGTATATATTAACTTTATTCTTTGATAAATTAACCATGTATATTAAACTCTATTATGGCCATGAAAAGACTAGAAATAGAGTGCCTAATTTTAAACTACTATGGGAAACAGTAAAATAAGAAAAACTAACCAATAAATCCAAAAGGATAAAAGAAAGGAAAGAGAAAGGGACATGGAAATGCTACGACAAGTAAAAATCGCAAAATAATATAACACTATGGGAGCTGTGAAGCCAAATGTACAAGTAATTTCAGTAAGTATATACAGATTCGATTCTCCAAATAAAACATAGTGATTAACAGACATTTTCTAAGACACAGATCAAAAATATATGAAAACAGAAACATTAAAAGGAAAGGAATACACATATGCAGGCGAATGCCAGGCAAAAGCAAACCATTGTGATTGAGGCAAATAGACTTTAAAGCAAAAAGCATTGCTATTGGTAAAGAGAATCACTTATAGTAACAACAGGTTTAATTTGCCACAAGTTTAAATAATTCTAAATTGTTATGCACCTAATCACAAGGTCTCAAAATAGAAAGCATGTAAAAATAGGTAAATCTACCCCTAATACAATAAATTTTCATATAACACTCTCAGAAATTGAGAGCCCATTGAATTAGCTGAAAAGTTTCTGCATAGCAAAAGAAATAATCAAAAGAATGAGAGACAATATTCACAAACTGCATATCCAACAAAGAACTACTATCTGGAATCTATAAGGAACTCAAACAATTGAGTAAAGAAAAACAAACAACTCCATGAAAAAGTGAGCAAAGGACATGAACAGGCATTTTTCAAAATAAGATATATAACATAGCAAGAAACACATGAAAAAATGCTCACTATTGCTAATCATTATGGATGTGCAAATTAAAACCATGGTGAGATACCATATTACGCTAATTAGAATGGTCATTATTAAAAAGTAAAAAAAAAATAGATATTGGCAGAGACATAGTAAAAAGGAATTTGATCAAGCTAAAAAAGGGAATGCTTAGAACTGTTGGTGGGAATCTAAGTTAGTACAACCTCTATGGAAATCAGTATGAAGATTTATCGAAGAATTGAAAGTAAATATACCATTCTATCCTATCCACTACTGGACTGTATCTATCCAAAGGAAAATAAATCATTGTATCAAAAGGATATTGGCACTGGCATGTTTATGGCAGCACAATTCATAATCACAAAGGTACAAAATCAACCTAAGTGCCCATAAACCAATGAGCAGATAGATAAAGTGGTACATATATCATGTGCTACTTACAGTTGAGTAGCTGAGTAGTACTCCATATATTACACTGGGAAGTACTACTTAGTCCTAAGAAAAAAGTGAAATTATGTCTTTTGCAGTAACTTGAAATGGTCCTAGAGACCATTAACTTAAGTGAAGTATCTCAGGAGCAGAAAAATAAATGCCACACGTTCTCACTTATAAGTGAGAGCTAAGCCATGCTATGCAAGGACACCAGAGTGGTATAATGGACACTGGAGACTTAAACGGGGAGGGAAGAGGAGGGAGTGAGGGATGAAATATTACCTATGGGACACAATGTACACTATTTGGGCAATTAGTACACTGAAAGTTCAGTCTTCACCACTCTACAATATATACATTAATGGAACTCAACTTGTGTCCTCTAAATCTATTGAAATAAAAGAACTCCAGGGTGGTCCTGGTGGCTCAAAGGACTAGGGCGCCAGCCCCATATGCTGGAGGTGGCAGGTTCAAACCCAGCCTTGGCCAAAAACTGCAAAAAAAGAACTCCAAAGCTTAAAACACACCAAATAATAATAATAATAATAATGATGATGAAAGAAAGAGAGAGAGAAAGAAAGAACAAAGAAAGGAAGGGAGGGAGAGAGGGAAGGAGGGAAGAAAGAAGGAGAAAGAAAGAGAGAGAGGAAGGAAGGAAAGAAAAAATGAAAAGAAAGAAAGATTGGGAGTTCAAGCGTTCAAAAAGATCAGTAAAGACACAGAATATTTGAAAACAATGAAAAAAGTTTGACCTAGCAAGCAGATAGAACATTTGCCTCTAATAGCTACTTAGAATATTTATAAAAACTGACCATATGCTGTGCCATAAAACAAGTTTCAATACATTTAACAGAACTGGTATCATACAGAACACATTCTAGAACATTGTAAGTAAAAGTCAGTAACAAAGATAACTAAAATCACCATACAGTAAAAGATAATGGTGATTTTAGTTAAATTGCCATTAAGAAATTTTTTGAGGCTCAGCGCCTGTGGCTCAAGTGGCTAAGGCGCCAGCCATGTACACCCAAGGTGGCAGGTTCGAATCCAGCCCGGGCCCGCAACCAATGTTGTGGCGGGCGCCTGTGGTCCCAGCTACTTGGGAGGCAGAGGCAGGAGACTCGCTTGAGCCCAGGAGTTGGAGGTTGCTGTGAGCTGAGATGCCACAGCACTCTACCCAGGGGAACAGCTTGAGGCTCCTGTCTCAAAAAAAAAAAAAAGAAAATTTTTGAAATTAAGCAACTCTTCTAACTAATGTAATGATCAAGAAAATTTAAATGGTGCTGGGAGAACTGGCTACCAACCTATGGAAGACTGAAACTGGACTCACACCTCTCATCACTAACAAAAATTGATTCTCACTGGGTAAAAGATTTAAATTTAAGACATGAAACTATTAAAATTCTAGAAGAGAGTGCAGGGAAA